CCTGGACAGCGTGGGTTTAGTACATGCCATTATTATGCTTGTTCACTTTGTTGTGCTATGGTCTCTTATTAATTCTCCAAAATAACCCTGAAGGGTTTCATTCCCACTTTGCAGATGAGGAGAGAATTTCTGAAAGTTAAGCCATTCTCCTCTCACATAGTGGCCACTGCAGAACCTCACCGGTGGTTCAGTGAAGGAACAGCTGAGCTACCAAGTGAGAAGCCCAGGACTGTCTGACCCGAAAGCCCAGAAGTTCCGGCAAGAACAAGATTCTGTTCCGCTATTGGTGCATTTTATTTTTTTTTTTATTTTTTTTTTTTTAAATTTTTTTTTTCAACGTTTATTTATTTTTGGGACAGAGAGAGACAGAGCATGAACGGGGGAGGGGCAGAGAGAGAGGGAGACACAGAATCGGAAACAGGCTCCAGGCTCTGAGCCATCAGCCCAGAGCCTGACGTGGGGCTCGAACTCATGGACCGCGAGATCGTGACCTGGCTGAAGTCAGACGCTTAACCGACTGCGCCACCCAGGCGCCCCTATTTCAGTTTTAAAAGGGCAAGGGAAGGGGACCCTGGGCAGCTCAGTTGGTTAAGCATCTGAGTCTTGATTTCAGCTTAGGTCGTGATCTCATGGTTAGTGAGATTGAACCCAGCGTCAGTCTCTGTGCTGACAGCATGGAGCCTGCTTGGGATTCTCGCTCTCTCTGTGTCTCTCCCACATGCGTGCATGCGCACATTTACTCAATCTCTCTTGAAATAAATAAACATTAAAAAATAATAATAAAAGGACAAAGTAAGTAAGTGGATGCCCAGATGGCATAGGTCTCTTTGGAGGTGGTAGAGATACTCTAATACAAGATTGTGGTCTAAATTGAGTTCTGTAAGTTTATTAAAAATCATTGAATTGTACATTTAAAATGTGTGAATTTAATGGTATATAAATTATGCCTTAGAAACGCTGTTGTTTTGTTTTGTTTTGTTTTGTTTTGTTTTGTTTTGTTTTGTTTTGTTTTTTTGTTTTGTTTTAAAGAGCAAGATGTAAACCCTAAAACTCTGGGGCAGCCACAAATTTAATGTTGAAAGCTGTCCAGAATTTTAGTGAGTCAAAGATTAGTTGGTGGAATTTCCTGAATTTCCCTATTGATGGTAAAAGAAGTGATGCTCTGTCTCTAACCAAACACTGGGAAATTCTGCAAGGTGTCTATTATTATCCTCATCTCACAGGGGAGGAAATTGAGAGTCAGAAAGTTAAAATAAAGTTGCCCAAGATCCACAGCCAGTGAGAACTGGCAAGAGTGTTAAATGTAACACTGTCTGGCCCACCAGCACATGGCAGCACTCTCCCCTACATCGTGCCCTTTCTCTGAGAAGAAGTCCTTCCATTGCTTGACTTGAGGTCACTTTCCTTCTTCCAGGACAACGGGAAACCGATTTCCCAATGTTTCTATCAGTGTTTTGTATTTTGTACTCAAAAGGATTCCTGAAAGGCATGAATCTGTTTTCAATATTGAATAAAAGGCGGGCGGAGACGCCAAACCTTAGGTTAATGAAAAGATAGTGTGTTTCTCTCTTGATGTTCACTAAGATGCTTTTAAAATGACATATATGCATATACATATATGCCTGTATATACACGTCTACATACAATATGATATTTATGAAGAGATTTGCAGCATTTATTTCCATTTTTATTCCTGATTTTACTTGGTTCATTGGAGACTTCAGGCTGTGACTTGCAGTGGTATCTGCTTAGGAATTTTTGAGGCGAGCCCCTGTTGTGCCTCTTGTACAGGCTTGTCTCACTTGATAAGCTGGTTAGCTCGCTCTTCACCTATTTTATGAAATGGAATTCTGGAAAATGAAAAGCTGATGGGGCTGCATTTTCCAGCTTTTGCCAGAGCTAGTAACCTTTACATCTTCACTTATATCCTTTCAGCATCTAGCATTGTTCTGTTCTTGCCAGGTCCCTATGCCTGATCACAAATGTTTAACCATCTCTCTGGCAGTCCCTCCAACCCTCAGTTGTACTAAGCTTCCTGTGGCCCCCTCCCTTCCAGATCCTTCCTCTGGTCTGGCCTGGCACTCTCCTCTTGCCTCTTGGTGGCTCTATTGTTCTGAGTCTTTATAAATAATGCAGATCCTTTTTGTTTTCCTTTCCTTCCTTTCTCCTGGGATATGTCTCTCCTCTCTTTCACCCGGCTGAAACAAGACAAAACAAATAAATAAAAACAAGAAACCAATTCTGTACCAAGCCAGCAGAAGACGTCCATGGGCCAAATTTGGACTCTTGACGTTGGACCTCTGTTTTCCCTAGGATCCTGAGACACAGCAGCAGTGATTTCCATATTCAAAGAATGTAGCCAGCATTGAAAGAAAAGAAAGAAAGAAAAAGAAAAAGCAGAGTAAATGCTGAAATGATGGAACAACTGTAATTGTGAAAATGGATACCCTAGTGCTTTATCTTTCCTTCAACCAATATTCTTAGAAATAGGGAAGTAAACAGAAGTTTCTGCTTTTACATATTTGGCAATAGTAGAACTTATTAAATAATTGTGAAATTTTCACAGTCTTGTTCACATTTCAAAATAAAGTTCATTTGCAGGAATCCTTGAGTTGCTTCTTGTGTGCTCAGAGGTGACGGAAGGCCAGGATTTGAAAAGTCGTTAAGGTTGTTTTGGGAATTAGCCGTCTCCTTGTGTCAACAGTAGATTGTGTATTCTGGTCGTTCACCCCACCGCTCCAGCAGGCAGCCTGCTTGCTTGTGACTTGTGCTCACTATTAGCCTCCCCAGCATGTTTTCAAAATAAGGTAAGTGCCTCCTTCCTGACTTCCTGCATCATAATCATGTTATAGTCCAGACATCTTCATGTAGCCAGTCCAGTACCTTAGAAAGATCTACTGCACATATCACACTGCAGCAAAGCACTCCCTAGAACTGACTCAAAACTGTTCTCATATATATTTTAGAAATGCTGTTTTCTTTCTCTCTTACTCTGGATTTTATGCATCTGGACAAAAGTTGTGTTTTAAGAGAATTTGTTTAAAGATTGCAAGGTAGCTCTTTTTTACCCCCCAGTAATGAGGAATCTAGAGAATAGTCCGTTGCTCTGTATTTATCCATTTTGTAGGTCCAAATTTTTCCCCAGTAGGTTTGCACAGAAGAATTTGGTTATAATTTGGTTAACAAATCCATTTCCTCCATAAAGGGCATTTTCAAAAGTGCATGGATTTGGGCACATGGTAGTTATCAAACTTAAAGTGTAATCATTTTGCAGTATATTTCAAATCAAAAAAATTGTATACCTTAACCTTACACAATGCTGCATGTCAATTATATTTCAACAGAGCTGGGGGAAAGCCATAGTGTTTTCTTGGCAACAAATACAATAAGAAAAACGGATACATTTCAAGATGGGCTATTATGAATATATATTATGAGTGAGTTGAAAGAATGATTAAAATCTGTTAATTTTTAATCAATGTAGAGCTGTCAGGACCAGGAAATAGGAATGAGAATGGCCATTTATTATGTGCTTACCAGATGCCAGATCCTGGAGTAAATATTTTAATATCCAGTGCAGCTCAGTGTATGTAGGGTTTGAAACTGCTGGTTTGAAGGTTGGACTACCCAAGTTTGAATCTCAGCTTCTACGCTGCTACAAGGATTCAGAGAGATAAGCCGCTAGCTCTGTGCTACTATGATAGTGAGGGCTAAGTAAATATTAGCTGTTCGTTATGTCTTATTCCATTTAATTCTTTGAAGTAAGCAGTGCCCCATTGTGTGGATGAGGAGACTGAGTCTGGAGTGGCCGAAGTCACTTGCATAAGGTTTTCAAAAGTACGTTGCAGAGGCAGAATTTAGAACCAGTGTCTATCGGGTATTCTGATTAAACCTCTGATCAGGAGTTAACTGTTCTAGGCTACCAGGAAAATCTGTGCTAATGGTAACATTTCTAAGCTTAGAAAAACTTTAAAAAGATCCATTTCAGTGGTCAACCATTCTTAGAGTTCTTTTCTGAGGTGGATAACAAATTCACAGCTATATGGATTAAGCTATGCTTTTCAAAATCTGTGCATGATTTATGAAAAATGCCAAATACACCAGTTCCATCAATACCTCTGCTGTGTAAATGCCGTCATCTATGCAAATATCAACTGGTAATGCCAGCTTAAGGAAACTGTCACAGTGATGTTCCTTTAGCAATCAGAGGCAAACAAAGAGGTGTTTGTTTGTTTGTTTGTTTGTTTTTAACTTTTAACTAGCTGCGGTAGTTCTCAGCTCTTAGAGCATGAATACTGAGTGATGCTGGGCACCCCCAGTACCTTGTCACCTCTGTCAGACTGGATTTCAGTGTTGCTCAAATAGCCCTTCTAGGTTGTGTGCTTCAGTTGAGGACATCCTTGTTTTCATCCTCAAGGCTCATGGCTTAGTGGCCATAGTGACCAGGTATGGCTACTATAGGACAATGACTGAAATTTTCACAGTGAAAGAGTTCGATGGTGTGGATGCTGGAACTGGAACTCATGTACTAATGCAGGATTCTGCTTGCCTGTATTGCAACCTTAGATAAATCTATCTTCTGTAGTCCGAGATACAGGTAGAATTTAGCTCTTGTCATAAGCGGAGCCTCTTTTTCCTTTAGATGTATGTATAAGAGAATGGAATGAAACTTCAGGTCTACAAATTAATGTGAGCTTAATATAAACATAGCATAAAGCAAGAAGAATTGGGACCAAATATCACATAATTTTCATCGCAGTTCACTTCCTAGCGCTTAATCTAGTCAAACTCTTTTCCTTCACAACATTCCTACCTTCCGGATCCCTCAGATGCTTCACTATGTTCTGCTGTCTAAATGTATACCTGCAACAGAGGCACAGAGTGTGTGCATCAAACCCCATGCAAGTGAAAAGAACTCATTCCAGGATGCTGTTATGGACGTGACAGTTTAAGAAGCTCCACGTCACCTCATTTAAACCACTGTGGGTTCTCCTTTCCAGGGTTCAGCGGATTCCTACACGAGCAGGCCGTCTGACTCCGATGTCTCTTTGGAAGAGGATCGGGAAGCGATTCGGCAAGAGAGAGAGCAACAAGCCGCTATCCAGCTTGAGAGAGCAAAGGTGACTTTCTTGCCCCTCTTGGGTTCCAAAGTGTCATGTTGCTCAGCAGGTATCAGCTGCTCTTCCCCTGCCTCAAATTCCTCTGGAACAGTCATTTTAGGATCATCCTAATGAGGCACCAGATTTCAAGGCTCCCTGATCCATTCATCCCCTAAGAGAGGTTAGTAACTTTCCCAGGGGGCCATTTCCTGAGGTACAGATCCTTCTTCACCCTTTGTGTTAGGTTTGGGGCTGAATTATCGGCTCTATTCCAACTTCATGGTTGTGGCTAATATTAAGCATGCCGCTCCCAGTGTTGGCAGAGAGCCTCCTAAGGTACAGGTTCTCTATCTGTTCCTGACCCCTCATTGTCCGTGACCTCAGCCTTCATCACAGGCTACACGTGCACTATTGTTCTGTGGGTTTCCCTGTGGGTCTCTCTACCAGTTGCCTCTTGGTTTCAGTCTCCTATCTCAAGTTCAGGGTGAAGTTCAGAGCTTTGAACAACTACTAGCATTTCAGCAAAGATGAGCAGTAGAAGGCATTGCCGAACTTCAGATATCACACAAAAGGATGACCCCCCCCCC